AAGCATTTTTTCTATCCACTGCACTTTGCGTAAGCCAGTATCAGCATGTAAAGAATGATTACTCGCTCCTCTACACTCACAACGTGAAAAACCCAGGAAGGTTTGGCAAAACTACATCTAAGGAAAAAGTCTAACTTGTTCATATTGCTGAAGCTGTGGGCCTCTCAGAAGGAAATTAAAAAAGCTTGGTTCACCCTGTGACACAACATTCAATATCTTGAAGGTAGAACATCATTTGACTGAATAACATGAACAGAAACACACTTCTGAACATGTGTTCCACATTTGCTGTCAGACTGTTTTCAGTCTTTTTGTCATTAGGGCAAGTACAACCTTACCAAATATGTCTTAAAGCTATACCACTTTTATTTCAAAAGTTGAAATGAGTTGAAGCTGAAGTTGCAGAATTAAAATAATAATCTTAGAAAATGATAGATTTTGTCTTACTTTGTTCCCAAAAGAAAAATCACTTTTGGTGAGCAATGTTGGGCATCTAACATTCATACCTGCACAGACACAAAGTGTGCATTCTCAAGCTCATGCTGATTATATGAAAAATCACAATAGATCAGAAAAATGTGTAGCATTTTCAGCTTTACTTCTGTTTTCTGTAAACCATCACCAATGGACAATTTCTATCGTCCTTTTAAAACAGATCTTTAGTAAAGCATTGATCGTTACTCTTTTTTTCTGACATGCCTTCTCAAGTATTGTCCTCCGGCAAAAGGAAATCCCTGACACAAGGTAATTTTAGTCAAAGAGAAAAGCACACTGAGGTGACAGCTTCTTTCGCTATGATGACTGAACTTCTGTTGTGTCAGGATGAACAGAACAGAGTCTGTTTTGACATAAACATGCAGCTCAGATTTTGATGTGAAGTTTTTGTGAACTTTGTGACCTGCCCTCAGGAGACTCTTTGGCAATTAGACTTTTTGAGGATTTTGCTATTGGTTTTTGCTTTGGTTGTGAGATTAAAAGTAATTTCTTTCAACAACTCCATTCGTAATAAAATGGATGAGAACACAATGAGCCTTGTCATGTACCTGCATGTCAGTCTCACATTCTGTGTTATATTACTTACACACTGTGAGGCAAAAAGATGTCTGTACTTGTATAGCCTTTTTCAATGCATGAACCACAAAAAAAGAATGTTTTTCTCACACCCACAAGTAATATTATCATGTCTTTAATAAGCTGTAGAGCCCTGTTCAGATCCATGGAACATACCTATGCTTATTTTGCTTGCCTTATATCATGTAATTGCTACTCTTCTGTTGTTTTACCAGACTAGCTGTGCCAATTGAATGGCTGAATGCTGACCTTTCGTAAACAATTTCCTTTGCTGACAAGGCCATCATCTCTTTAGACTAGTTTTTGTCCCAAATAAACCAGTACGCATCAACCTTTCCAAGCAGTAAAAGGTTAATGACAGGATGGTAACCCTTTTGTGTTTTGGATCGAATGGATCTGACCTGTGGGGTTCCCCAAGGTTCAATCCTGGGACCCCTTTTGTTCAATCTGTACATGCTTCCATTGGGACAGCTAATGCGCAGCCATAATCTGTCCTATCACAACTATGCTGATGACACTCAGATCTATGTGTCACTGACAGCAGAAGAATACGGACCTGCAGATTTATTGTGTCGTTGTGTTGAACAGATCAGTTTGTGGATGCAGAACAACTTTCTCCAGTTAAACCCAGACAAAACTGAGATCATTGTCTTCGGCCCACAGAAACTAAGAGAAAGTGTCATTAGTCACCTTCAGGCACTCTTTTTGGAACTTAAAAACCAGGTCAAGAATCTTGGGGTAATACTGGACTCAGACCTGGACTTTAACAGCCACATTAAACCAATAACATCAGCAGCCTTTTACTATCTCAAAAACATTGGCAGAATCAGAGGAATAATGTCTAAACCAGACCTAGAAAGACTAATCCATGCATTTGTCTCTAGCAGATTGGACTACTGTAATGGCCTGCTCACTGGACTCTCTAAACTAAGCTGTAAGAGAGCTGCAGAACATCCAGAATGCTGACCAGAGTTCTGACCAGAACCAGGAAATGCGACCACATCAGTCCAGTGCTCAGGTCTCTCCACTGGCTTCCTGTCACTAAGAGAATAGACTTTAAAACAGCTCTGCTTGTGTACAAGTCTCTTCACGGGCAAGCACCAAAATACCTTAGAGCCATATGAACCAGCTCGGACTTTGAGAATCTCAGGTTCTGGTCTCCTGATGGTGCCCAGAGTCTGAACTAAACAATGTGAAGCTTCACTTCAGTTCCATGCTCCTACAATCTGAAACAGTCTTCCTGAAGATGTGAGACAGGCTTCAACTCTGACAGTGTTTAAATCCAGGCTGAAAACGCTTCTGTTTAACTGTGCGTATGGAAATTGAACGCATTTTGTCTGCACCCTTCACTTTTCATCTGTCTAATTTCGATTATTTTTCTTTTCTTGTTTTTCTGCTTTTAAATTCTCTGTGAAGCACTTTGAATTGTCTTGTACACGAAATGTGCTATACAAATAAACTTTACCTTATCGGAAAATATCCTTTTCAATAGAAATAAATTACACAATAGAATTGATTCTACTTATTTCTGAAAGGTTATATAAACTTAGTATCAAGATCATATTCTATTTACTATGATCACTGTATTAATGTGTTTGTTTCATGCATTAAAACAGTCTTTGCTAAACTATTGAGCTTACTGATATTGTAAACAGTAAACAGTAAACAAAAATATATAATAATGAATAAGCCAGACTCTCACTTTCTCTGTCAGAGGAACTGATCGAATTAATTTGAATTATAGTTAATTCTATTCCAACAAGCTGGACATTGGACAGCATTGTTAAAGTGCCTAGAGAATTTTTTTTTTGTGATTGGTACTATATAGATAAAATAGAAAACAAATTGAATTGAAGTAACTTAAGTATCTTGACCCTGGTGTTAATTAGCATTATGGAAATAAGCAGTACAGTAGAACCTCTACACCAGAATCTAATTGGTTCCGGGACCCACTTCGTATGTTAAAATATTCGTATGTTGATTAAAATATTCCCATAAGAATACATTGTAATTCGTATAATTCGTTTTACAGCCCAAAAACCCGCGATAACTCCTCAATAACAACACACATAGCAATAAAACAAATGCATTATATAAGAAAGATGTAGAAAGAAAGAAATGATAAAGAAATATTCTATAAAAAGGGGTTTTATTGGCATTTTACCTTAGAGACTGGCAAACGGAGGTGTGGAAGTAAAGGTAGTGACTGAGATAAAGGACGTACTGTAATTTACTCTATTTTTCACTATGTGAACTTTAAACAAACTTTGCTTATTTATCTTTATTTAATTTTTTTTCGATCACTTCGAAATTTACTTTGAATTTAAAGTTGAATATTTGGTTGAATTTCACTTTGGATGTTGGAAAATTCGTATGTTTAGGCAATTGTAAGGAGATGTTCTACTGTATTTGATATGGTAAAGGGCAGCACGGTGGTGTGGTGGTTAGCACCATAGCCTCACAGCAAGTGGGTTCTAGGTTTGAGTCCCAGGGGGAACCAGGGCCTTTCTTTGTGGAGTTTGCGTGTTCTCCCCGTGTCTGTATGGGTTTTCCAGCTTCCTCCCTCAGTCCAAAAACTATACTATTAAGTCGCTCAGTCGTTCAAAAACAGATCCCCCCCCCCCCCATTGGTCGATAGTTTTTCGAAGTTTTCTTTGTCTTTGTAAAGTAAGTAAAGTAACATTCTAAAATCATGAGGAATTTATTTCAAGTAAATCTGTTAAATATTGCTCTGCTTTAAGCCACACAGACTGGAATCAATTTATGAAGTACAAATTCTTCTTTATAACCTCAGTTAATGTTACATAGTTATCACCACTCTGTGTGTTACAGTGAAGAAATACAGTATGTCTATTTATTTGGCAATGTTGAAGATATGAAAAGTTTACAACAATTTTGGGGCTACTTTTGTGAAATGTTGTGAGCATAGCCAGACAAGCACGGAAAAGAGGTCATTAGCTACTGATTTTTCAAGTTGATAAAACATGAAATCATAACTGGATTGATTTACAGTGGCTTTGTAGGTTTTAGCAGTCTAACTTGGAAGAACTGAAGAATCATTCCTGCTTTTAAAGAATTCAGGTCGTGATACATGTGGTTTTTGCAACTGAAATATCACAAATGGACACACAACATATATTACTTCTGAGAAAGAAACAAAAATAAAAGCCTTTGCTACATACATATATAAAGCACATTTTCACTATGCTGATTTTTTATTTTTTTAAGTAAAAGAACTAAAGAACTAAACTGCCCATAATCCTAACAGCAATTCACAACACTCAACTTCTTGCAAAGTAAATGCCTGACTGTCTGGAGAGCATGATTAAATGTTCAGAGAATGCACTGACAGGCAGACATTAGGCCATAGCTTAATGAAGACCTGCATAGAATCTAAGCAGAAAAACTAAAGAGGGGAAAATATTCCATGGTTTCATACTTTTCTAACTTGTAATGACAAATTGATTATTTACTGAGAATAACTCTCAGTGTTAAATCCTTCAAATTTAATTTGTTTAGTAAGTCTTAAAAAGCTCTAAGAGAATTATTTAAGGCTCCAAAGCCATGTAACTCAAAGAAAAACAAAACAAATAAGAACAAATAATATAGTTTTCTAACAGATTTTTCTCAACTTTGTAAAATTGCGAAAATCAAAACAGAATAACTATTCCCTAACTATTTTACATCAAAGTTGGACAAATTCTCTATTATTGTGCTGCACCAAAGGCTGCAGTGGGGCCCTAGATTTTCTTCCTGTTTTGCTTCTCACCATTGTCTCCCTGTTAAATAGAATTTTAAGTTCTGCTCTTTACATATACACATACTCTTAGGGAAGGACCTCCATTAAGGATCTTATTGTTTTTTACTTAACAGGGTACAAGCTGTATAGTTTATCATGGTTTCTGGAGTTTCTTCAAGTAGAATAGGCAGCAGCCTTCTGTGCCCCTTTTTTGTGGTAATAGCTGCCAATCCTTGTCACATCATATCTGTTAGCCAGCTCAGAAACATCAGATTCAATAATACACACACTTCAAGAGTTCAGTTGTAACTTTTCCACAGAGCTTTATTGTTGTTTGAATTACACGAAGTTCATTGCAACAATGTCGCTCTTTTCTCTTTTTTTCATCTCAACAACATCTTGCATTCACATACAAAATCCATTTTCTTCTACCTACCCCTACATACTTTATCCATCCACAAATACTTTACTCTAGGAATGTACATCCTTGGGCAAGTTTTTACATCAGCCTGAGTAGGCAGTGAAGTAAGACAACTTACCCTGACAATCTATTTCAAAGCTTAAACGCATCTTAATCCTTCATTTCTCTTTTCTCTTCACCCTTCAACAACATTCTTTTCGTAATCTTTCACATATTTCGCGATCCTGTCACCAATGACAGATGCATGGACAACTGAGCAGTGTACACAACCAAAGCTCCATGCAAGATGTCTCACTGAAAAGTGATCAATGTCATCTACAAAACAATAAAAGAAAAGAAGATAAAAAACCCACATGGCTCAGTTTGAATCTTTAAAAAAAGAAATTGTGATTTTTTTTTTATATGATCAAATAAAAGGTTCCTTCTGCACCTCTTGGTGAGAAATTGGACTTAAATGAATGCCTCTGCAGTAAAAATACAACAGCGTCGAAGTAAAAAAAATGCAACCCCCCCTCCCCCCAAAAAACAAACAAACAGGTATTTCAGGAATGTATCAAAATAAAACATGTACTCAGATTTATTCCTAGTTTTGTGTTGTTGGTCTTAACCTATCAGGGAAATCACCTCCTGTCTTTTTATCTCATAAACACCCCTTAAAAAGCTTTAACAGTGTTGCTTTATAGTACCTAAAATAACCAATACACATTATTTGAATGTAAAAATGTAAAACTTTCATTAACCCCCCCGAAGAAGGTCTACATTAATGCTTAAATATATAATTAGTAGTAAACAGGATTGAGTGCTCCACTTCCTTTATCAAGAAATCAACAAACGTGTGACCGTTACATGTGTGAAAAGTCTGTTTGTTTCTTGCTCTGCATCCAGGTAAATAGCTGCCAAAGAGGACAGTTACACAGAACACTGTTGTAATAATACACACGCACACGCACACACATAAATACAAGTCCTGCATTTCTCTTATGTACAAAAAGTCCATTTTCTCCGGCAACTTCACACCATTGTCTCTTTTCTTTTTCCTAAAGAACATAAAGACTTTTTCTCCTTTTTGGTTTTGTGTGCTCTGGATACGAGGATTGGAGATGACAAACTTGCTGATGATGATAATGATGTTGTAGATGAAGATGATGAGGAGGAAGAAGGGGACATTGTGGTGGGACTTGGGGTTGTGCTGTTGCATGGTGAGCAGGGCGCAGATCGAGAGCTTCTCTGGGGGAAATTCTCATCTTGTTTTTCCATGTGGATGATGGCAGAAGCAGAAGAAGGGCGGCGCTTGAAGCAGGCATTGGTTGTGGTTGAGCTAGGGGTGTAGGGCTCACTGAAAGGCCGATGGACGGAAATGGCACTGCGTAGGCAGTTAAGCCACTGCTGCTTGTGGAAGACATCATTGACCTGCAGCGTATGGGACTGTGCTTGACTTGGGTCTTGGGAACGTACACGAAAAATGTTCTTGGCTGCAGATGAAAAAGAAAAAAAGAATTATGATTATGAGAGGTTATGAATACTACTCAGTAAACTACTGCTTAAAACATTGTGACAAGGCTTACCTTTGTCTGCATTGCTGAATGCACCTCTGAAGGAGCCACCCATTCTAACATCTCCATCCTGCAATTCTTCCAACACTAAATCCTGCACAGGAATAGGCTGTCGGTAAACTTGGAAACACTGGCGCTCATTTCTGGTGACTGGACGAGTCAGGACCAGCAACTCGGTGAACAAGAACACATGTAACTTCTGAAATAAAAGAAATCCCAGAAAAATTAATTAATTAAGAGCCAGGACATCATACACAACTGTTCTTGCTTTTATTTAAATTCATATAGATAATGCTATAATATAGTTATAATATAGTTTATCTATTGTTTTTGTAGTTTATTTTCTTCTGAGGCAAAAAGGAAGAATATTTTAATGAGAAGGTTTTGCTTACAGTTCCACTTTTGTTTCTCAGCTCTCCATGACAGAGCAGGCTTTTGCACAGCTCAATGTGAGGGTCCCTCTGCCTGTCGTCAAGGTATTCCAGCTTCTCAATGTAGAACTGGCATTCAGACTCTCCCTTCTTCATATTGATGTCTGACAAAACAGCTTGAATGATGGTGATCTAAACATACAAACATGAAAATTAGTATTCAAGTATAAGCCTATAGCAACTGCTAGAAGAGATAGTTGATGGAGCTGGGTTATGTTATATGGGTTTCTATCCTGTACTTACTGCTTCCTCCAAGCTGCAAGCATCAGGATGTTCTGCTGGAGTGTGTCTCAATATCTCTTTAAGCAGGAGTGGGTACTTGACCAAACGAGAGCGAGGGATGTCCAAGAAACTCCACAAATCAAGCTTCCGACTAAAGGGAGACTCAAGGCAACGTTGTAAGAAATCTTGCACCCTAGGGTCCTGTTTTTTCTGGTCCAGCAGTGCTTTGGCTGCCAGCTGATTGCTGCAGTAGTCCTTGTAGGCATTGAGTCGGGGAAGCTGGAGAAAAAGAAAGGATATTTTAAATCACTATTAAAATACAGGGTTTTAAAAGAATCACTGTGTCCTTTGTCATTTTGCAAAGGATACTTACCCAGTTTACAACAATCTGTCCTATTTGGCCTACTGTCCCATCTGGCCCAGTGGCTTTAGAGAGCAGGGCCAGCAGGTCTTCATGTAGGGGGATGTAGGCATCAAGATTACCAAAGATGTGGGTGAGCTCCTCCTCAGACATGATAGAAAGCTTCAGCATAGGGTCATGATATGCCTACAAAGGAGAGGCAAGTAAAAAACTGTCAAATAACATTCAGGCAGGCAAATGAGTCTGCTAAAAATAACTTTGTGAACAATTTTAGGGGTACTGACAGAGGAACAATTCCTGTCTTTTTATAGCTATTGGCTAGGCTGTGTGGAGTCTCTGCCAGACTTTGATTTAAACTGTTTGTGTTTAGCTTTACTCCCCACTAGCTCAGAGCTTTTAAGAGTACAAACCTTGCGTGCAAGCTGGAGGTCTGCAATCAGATCCTGTTCTCCGCGAGACAGCTCAAATATGGCCTGAGGAACGGAAAGGGGAACACAAAGAAAGATACCAATTTAGCAAAACACATAAATGTTTTTTTCATTACATCATTGTAAGTGTAACACATTAAACTAAACCTATAAATGCAGTGCAACTGTATCACTGAGGTCAACTTTTAGATCTCTGACTTCCCTATTTCTTGGTTTCATTCCCTAAGCTATTTGAAATACGAACGACAAGTGGATGGCTATTATCCCTGATCAAGCAGTCAGACACAAATACTACAGGAACTTGTGAAACTAGCTTGTTAGAGACGTAGAAGTTTTCACTTTCTGGATTTGTGACTGTTTATCTGTGAAGGATTGGGACCCAAGTATTCTCAATACGATCTACCCTTGTCGAAAGTATTTACATTTGTCAGTGATGAACTCACCTCTTGCCGCTTGATCTCTTTGGTGGAAAAGGTTCCCTTCTGGTGGATGTCTAGAGTCTCTGACCACAGAGTGCTGTTCCTTCTTTTAGGTGGTGTGGGGGCTGCAACCTTGCTGCAAGGCTTGTGGGGAACACCCTGTGACTTGGCATCACTCCGGAAAGAAGCCTGCATACATGAGAAAGGGAGTATCACGTCAGACATGCTGTCACATTTATGTTTCTCTTAAGTGTTTGTGACTTGTAGATTGTCACTAGAGTTTACCTGGATGGTCTGGCCAAAGCGCCGGACAGCCCCGTTCTTAACCGGAGAGATGAGGTTTGCTAGCGACGTCACCCTGCCGAGAACACGGACACGCTTATTGCTGGGTTCCTGAAAGAGCAGGGCAAAAATGGAAGGAAATGTCAGTCAGTTTGTATTACAGTTTATGTTAAAGTTGAGTCTTTGCACTGAATCACGATTGTCAGAATGAATTAATAGGGACAACTGTAAGTTCTCCGAAGTCCACCACCTTATGACAAAACACATCAAGTTATGCCGTTAATCTTCATTTTGTGCTGCACTTCCTGCTCTGGAATAATGAAATATAGAGTCTGGAGCTGAAGATGAACTGCAGACAGGCAGACTGGCGAACCATTTGACATGCAGATATAGTGGAGGAAGCAGCTCCAAGCCCCAGCAGCTGTTGGCTCCATCATGTGAGGACTCTTGAACTGAGGCGACCCACTGAGCACATAGACCTTTTCTGACTACCGGTCTGGTAGGGAAAGGGGTCTGGAGGAATGCCAAGAATGCACAGGACCATGCTTTTCAGCTGTTCACTGCCCCTCCCTACACATCCCCACACTATCAGGCTTGACAACAGCTACATCTCATCAAGTGTGATAGTGGCTTTGTTATGACCCCATTCCTTAATCGACATTTCCTCAAGTACTGCCATAAGATAGTGTTGAAATTTATTAAAACTTTTCAAGATAACAGACTCCCACTGTGGGTCACAAAAGCAGGCAGCAGTGTAAACACTCTAGGACACAAATTCAATTTCAAGTGTTTACACACTGTAATGTTGGAAGGGGTTGCACAGTTGAGTTATAAAAAGCAAGTTGAGACAGGCTCTTCAACAAGCCTTGCGTGAGAGTGCTGCTACACCTGGACCAGGCAATCCCCACTTAAACCTCCCTTCACCAAACCCTGAGGCTGTGAGAAAGGAAAGAGCTGCTTGGCTGTACGACTAAAACAAAGATATGCAATAAATATTTTATCAAGCAGAGCCTCCCCAAAAGCACTAGAAACATTGTAAAACCTTAGGATATCAGGAGTCTGCACTTCATACTTTTTCTGTGAAGTGCAGACTCTTTGTTACATCCCAGTCTATTTGGAATATCCCAACTTGGCCATAAAGCGCTCTGGTTTTTCACCTAACACAGGCTAAGTGGAATTTTGCCTTGACTCAGCAAATAGAAGAAACAGTGTTGCTACTGAGGCTGCTGGCACAGCTGTGGAGTGGATCCACTAAGTATGGTGTGGTTGAGTCCGTCTGCGGTGGTTGGAATCTTCTCAGAAAGCCTTGAGAACTTATAAAGTCCTCTAGTGGTAGGGGCCACCTAAGGGCAACCATGTATCAGCTGCTTGACTGTGGTTTATTTGCGAGATTGTTTCTTTATTTTAAATCTATAGGACCAGACTATCTGATTTGTGACCCTTTAATATCTGACAGATAAATCAAACAGACACAGATACAAGAAAAAACAAATTTGTTCAGTAGCAAAAATGCAACAATGATAGAAGGGCTTGGGTTTTGGGGTGGAGTTGCAAAATAGCTATTGGAAAGGCACGCCGGCCGTTATGTCCTTCCTGTCCTTTGTGGAGTGGCTCCAGAATAACAAAAGGGTCACTAGTCCTGCTCTTTGTTTATCAGCTCTAAAGTGAAACTGTGCAGATAGGCAGAGAATAGTGCTATTTTTGCAAGTCTGACAACAGTTTCAGGTAGTAAGACTGGAATCAGGAAGTCACATAGATAGATGAATCAATCAATGACAATAACAAAGTTAGACTAAGAACATTTGTACCCAACAAATATCGAAAATCATAATATCAAAACCATATATTTCTTTTTACAGTTCCCCAGTTCCTTTTTAACTACTATTGTGTGTGTGATAAGCTAAAGTCGGGGTGTGCCCCCGATTAAAGCAAACAGACAATGCCATTCAAGGAGCAGTAAATTTAAATTAATTGTATGTATTAATTAGAATTATACATTAAAAGGTAAAATTATAAAGAAAATGTGTGAAATAAAACTGGTTTAAATTTAGGATCATAAACTTTTCTTTAAAGTTCCTCTTTGCAAAGCAAATGACTGACAATGAAACCAAATGTTCTCTTCTCTGAAATGGAAAGAAAGGAGTTGAGGAAGAGATTTTTGCTACCACAGAGAGCCCACCATGTTCCAACAATGTGTGCCAAGTTACTGAGTGGTGAATGATTTCAGGTTGCTTTGTAAGATTTGCTGATATAATTTTTACTTTTTACTTTAATGTCAAATGTTGAACAAAAATGATTACTTTTGGATCCATCGGAATAGTGATTGAGAATACAGAACCCTGCTGTTTCCCTGTTTGCAGTCCTTTTAGTATGCTGACTGCCCTGTACCTATACATCCCATTAAGGCTTAGCTACCTGCTGGGCTAATGTTCAAGAGCAGACAAGGAATCAACAAGGTTAGGAAGTTAGGAAAGGCACAGTGTAATCTAGAGATTACATTTATAAGTAACCAGGCACAAAGGTTAAAGTCTCATCTCACAGTCATGCACTCACAAACAGTGTGTGCACAAGTGTGATAAAACCAGGGAACGGCACAGACTCACTCATAGTCACATGAAGATATGACTTCACTGGAAGGGTTCCAAACTAACATTTACTGAAAAGTGTATAAAAAATTATCCCTTGTTTTTGCCGAAAACTATGGTGGCATACGATGAACAGGGTAGCTTGGTGCCTATCAAACGGACTTTGCAAGTGATAGACTTCCAAAACCAAGCTAACAAAGACTCAGAGGTAAGACAAAAACAAGGTTCCCATTAATCCAGTTGAATTAGCTCCAAATAATCCACATTAGAGTAAAAAGTCTATAAACACCCAGGCTTTTGTCTTCCTATGGGGACAGGGCTCTCTCAAAACTGCCCTCACACACACTTTCTAAACTTTGGTCTGAGACACACTGAATGAGGGAGGGTTTTATAGCTTGGACTGGAGGAGGAGCATGCCTCTTGCAGTCAGTGACAAGGACTAGGTCTACATGGAAGTAAGCAGACACTACCTGCAGGTTTTGGTGAAAATGTCTATGAGAGTTTTGATCACAATCGGCAGACCTTACTGGAAAGTAGAAACCCATAATATGGGTTTTTTTTCAGGGAACTGAGTTGAAACATGATACTAAACATGATTAATGATCAGTCTTTGATTTAAATCAATCTTAATACATTTTAGTAACAAATTTAATGAAAAAGGTTTTATCTCTATATTTCTAGACTACACAGGGGGAAAATATCTTGTTCAGTAGAGCATGGAGTAAAAAGGCCCATATAAATTGAATAACTCTTTGTAGTTAATCTAAATTGTTCCCCCAAACTGGAGAGTAATTGTAAGTTGGCAATTTCATTTTTAGCCAGTTGTTCAAAGTGGTTTGGAGCAAAGTTCTATATACTGATCTTTAAACACAGCTGTCTGTAGTCTCATCAACTGACTGGGGGAGGTGAACAATTAGAATATCAATAGTGGGACACTCAGCCAGATGTTTACACGGAAATCTGTGTATTGACTTCCAATACACAGGAGGGGGGGGGGGGGGGGGGGGGGGGGGGGGGGGCTCATATGTTGATTAATGTATGTTGATTAATCCATTGGTAGGGGGAAATCAACATGCTTGCCAGTTTCAGTAAAGATAAGCATCCAAGAAGAAAAACAAAAGTTGCTTTTCAAAATTCATTTTCACCGGACATAGGCACTAAACAAAATTAAACTGAACTAAACAGGTAATTGCACATATGGCTCAAGGGCAGCCACACCTGAAGCCTCTACACCCAAGTAGTTGTTGCACAAATGCACAGTGTGGTGTCAAACCTGATGGAGCAGCTTATGGGAAAGTGCTGCTAGGCATGGTGTTAAAATGTGTGTATTTTGGGCAAATGGACAAGCCTGTTCAGAGCTATGCAATATCCACCTGGGTCAACATGGAGGTGTGAAACAAGACACAGGCTTCCTGTTGCTGCTCCGGCAATGTTTGCATAACTGTATTAACAAAACACAGATGCTAATCGAGGCACATGGACATTAACACCGTGCTCTTTTAGGAGTGTTGAATGAGCCTTCAACCCAGTCTGTTTTGTATCTCCCATATACAAACAAAAGCAAAGTTCTAGGCATCTTGATGCAATAAATCAAGTCACTTGATTCATTGTATAATGAATGAAGTGACTTTAATCTCAGAATAAAAAGTGACTATGGGTTAAGATCTGGGATCAGCAAAGTGAAAACATGCTAATGTAGGAGTCAGAGCGAGTCTAGTCAAGGATGAGGTCTGTAAGTAGTCTATTTGTGCCTGTGGAGGACAGTGTGTTACCTGATGTTACTCATAGTAAGCAGAGTACTGAGGCTGAATCAGCTATATGTCTGGTTTAGACACAATAAGCATAACACAACATGGCTATGCCTGTCTGTATCCGTCATTTCTTGTCAGACTATGCTAGATCTAAAGCACAGTTGTGATTTGCCCTCCGGAAGCTCATAGACACATTCAGACTGACTACAGGGAGACGGTGTTATTGAGGGGTGGATATTCACAGTTGCCTAAGCTGTGGCGTGCCAAGAACAGACTAGGCCCTGAGGCAAGATAAAGCTGGGCTCAGTTTCATCTCTAAATCATCTGCAGAGGGTGCACAACATCCAGAACATCCAGAAGTCCAAAGTAGGCAATATGCCGGAAGCTTATTGACTGTGGAGTGTTAAGTGATTTAAAGGAAGAGGACTGAGAAGGGACTACTGCCATCTGCTGACAGTTTCCAGTATTAATACTAATATAATATATGTACTGAGCCTGAGCTGGACATTTATAAAGAGATATAGCTTAAGTTGAATGACTGACGAAAATGGATTGGGTGACAGTGCCTCAATGTGAAGGTGTTGTAGTCTATTGCACCAATAGTGTTAGACAGACCAAATTAATTAATCGCCTATTGACTACAACTTGTTCTTCACCAAATAGGTACTCACCACTTTGCATACAAATCTGCATGATCGTCAAAGTTTCACTTTATCTCTAGGGTACGGCTCTGATGTATAAAGATGTAGAACTACTAATTGATGGAACAGCTTCCAGTTAACTTATTGGACATTCCAGTGTTGTGTACTTCCTTCATTTATTATAAACAAAAAGATTTTTAAATTCCCAAAAGGTTTTTTTTAATAAGCTACAAGAAGAAGGCAACACAAAATGCTTATTTTGTTCAAACTGTTGCTTTTTAGAACAATTGGCGAAGGGAGCACATGTTACAGGAACATTTTACTGCTTTTAAAATGGAGAGGAACTACATAATTTGTTCCAGGTATAGAGTACACAAAAGTCTAATTGTTTATCTGTTTAAGTGCATGAAATTACATTTAGATAAAGAGTCATGCCTGAACATTTCTTCTATGTCTACGGTACTTCTGAAACCAGACTAACATCCTCAGGTTGTTTTTGTTTTATCAGTGTTCACACCCAGAGCAGTAGTTGTTGCTACAAAACAAAATGAGACACAACCAACAGTTACAAGAAACTCCTACACTGTGTAGGCAAATGGTACCAGTGAGCTCATGAGCACTGACACTGAGGAAAACTGTATTAAGAAGAAAAGCTTGGTGAAACAGTTGGTGAAAAGTATTTATTCAATGTAACAATATTTATTTTTCAGCTTTCAGCTTTTTATTAAATTAAAGATGAAAAACATTCAACTTATAAATTTAGAAATATATTTTAAAATAATTATATATACATTTACATCTACTGTTACAACATCCTTTATACTGGTAATTGGCAGTCAATCAGAATCTCAGGGCAAGATCAGACATGATGAAGCATTCCTTCCAAGGTTGAAAGTCCAACCATCATGTGAAAGGCCCTATGAGTTTTTGTTCTACTAGTTGTTGTGATCTACTTTAATAATACATCTTAAATGTATTCCATTGGATGTCAACTTAACTAAAGTGGTTGGCACAACCACTTACACTGAGGTGTATATGGGATATTTAATCCAATTTATTTCCATTCCTTCTTTTGAAACTTGAGTTGTATGCTGAATTCAATTGATTTTTTTAATCAAACCTGCGGGTTGAGAACTTGTGTGTATTCTTTTTAAAGGCCATTGGCTTAACTGCTGCTGTTGACCAGCACACTTTTTTCTAAGGACTATTATTTTCTGAAATGAAGGTATTTAAAATATGGAGTGATAGTTTTCTTGCAGCGTCCTATGGAATTGCATAGGCAGTGAACATTGAAGAAGATCTCAATCAACATGTTAACACTGTTATTACTTGCTCTCACACTTATATTTTATTTGGAATATTGACCAACAGCTCAGTGGCAAATGTGGAGTAGTAAAGGGCTGCTTACTCTTCCTCTACCAGCCGAAAGTATAAGGATGAGTGCATATGCCGATTTAGCATGTATATGCAGCAACCTCTCATCATAAAACTTTGATATTATTGTTTGACACTATTGCATAAGTGCATGAGTATGCAAGCCATGATATTACTAAAGAGATTTATTAATAATCTGCTTGTGTGTGGGAGGTACTATCTATAATTCTTCCTTCACCGGAAGTAGCTTAGAGAACATAAAAGTTGCACTGTTTGAGTCAAGGAGTGGCCCAAAGAATTCTCAGTGACACATCAGTCGTCCTTCAGGCCTGATCAAAGCTCTTAAAAAAGATTGAAAAAAACAAACAAATGTTCCTGGTTTGAATTACTGGGGACTTTCTGCATGGGGATGGAACATTTTTCTTGTGTATGCGTGATTATTGCAAAACTGTCAAATATATAAGATCATTGAAAATAATGTATTTATAGTAAAAAAAAAAAAAAAAGGTAGTTAGCATAATAAATACACTGCATATTCTTTTTTTATTTTATTTACTTTTTAATGTTATACGTGTACTATATATTTAATGAGAAAGGTGTTCATTTGTTTCTTCCTCCTGCTTAACTTGAAACTTATATGATGTAACAGCCATTTAGGTCTTTTCTCACTTGACTTTGGTCCTTATTGTGAGCCAAGTTAACTTCCTGGATTGTGGCTGAATTGACTAATTTTAATCAGTTCTCATATTCCTAGCCACCATCAATAAAATTAACTAGCATTTAATGCTATGTCTGGCATGTTCTACCTGACACTCAGTATTTGTGTTTTGAATGCTAACTGTGTCTGCCTCTATTGCAGGACTCTGATTTGCTGGGGTGTTCTATTTCAAGTTTTAACTGGGGATAATAAATGCAGCTACTGGAAATTCATTTGGAGCAAAATAACAAAAGAATACTTTACTTATGCAGTAAAAACCCAAATTTGAGATTATTCTTAATAAAATCAAATAGTTGAAAAGGGATTTTCAGTGTATATTCTGTAGTGTAGATTTTTTTTCTCCAGAAGGTTGTATAAATTTACTTTCGCTCCTGAAATAGAACTACAGTACATTCCTTTAAATGTAAAGAAACAGCCACAAAGATGGAATATTTGCAGCCATCTTTTTGCAGGTGATTTGGATTAACTATGCTCATTGCCCCTTTTTGTTGAGAAACAATGGACTGTTGGAATTCCAAACTGGAACAGGAAAGGGTTAATTAGGCAGGTGAGAACTACTGCGTGGTTGCTTGGTCAGTCAAGTAGTGAGAATAACTTCAGATGTGAGAAAAGAAGTCTACCCACTGTAAACTTCTGTAATGTAATGTATCACAAAGTAATGGCCTATAAGACCCCAAGGGCTATGTTGTCAAGCTTCATTTACCATGCAGGCCCAAGTCCTTCTCGCTGGGCACAAAGTATGTGAAGATCTTAATAATCGCTGAGATGAGGAGGCCAGAAGTGGACACACAATACGAAGGAATGGGTGAGTTGTAAGGGAGTCTGTATTTGTGTTGGACGAATTGTTCTGTTGCTGTGGGGGAACTTGTTTCCGCTGTG